GCCATAAAACTTTCAGTCTCATGAGAATATGACCGATTGAATATTTACCTAGAGTAATGCCAATTACTGAGATGGGAAAAGTGTAGGACACTGAGAGCATGTAGGAGTTGTCAGAGGTCAGGAAGAACTTGCAGAAGTAACTGCTAAGCTGGTTTCTGAAGAATCTTTAGTAGTCAAGTATTTGTATGATGGTCAAAATGTTCAGAAAGGAGCAGTGGATGTGAAAGTATAGTGAGCAGAGGGAGCCTTCAGGAACAAAGAGTGGAAGAAAATTTAGAAACACATAGAGGAAGAGAGATGAGTATAAATTAGAGTAGAAAGCACAGGCTGTATGAAAAAGCCTTTGCAAGCAGTTATGAGATTGTAATGCACAGAAATGGTCATCACAATATTAAAATATTTCAAGTAGTATATTGATGTAACCAAATACACATTAGAAAGACTCTTCTAGCTACCCTTTAAAAACTGGGTTGGAGTTTAGATGTGTATATTGTGCAGAAAAGAGGGTAGTAGACACATTAGGAAATAATCACTGTGCCTAAGGTGATAGGTAATAGGTTTGGAAGATAATCATGAGGTTGTACTGGTAAAGGATATAAAACTGATGAATGTAAAACTGATGAACAAACCAAGTAAAAGTTGTGGTGCTTGCTGAATTCTGGAAATGCCTTAGAAAACAAATTCTGGATTAAAACTCCATAAAGAATACCAAAAAAAAACCAAACCCAGGGCCGTGGATTTAGCTCAGCGGTTCAGTGGCCTGTCTTATAAGCGCAAGGACCAGAGTTCAGTGCCCAGAACAACAACAAAAAAAAAAGAATAACAAAAATCAAGCCAGAGAAGCACACTAATCAGCACTTTTGGTGATTCTGCTATAGTTAGAACTGGAAGAAACTGCCATCTCTAATGCCATTACTGATCACTAACAGTACAAATGGGGCTAAAAGGTCATGTTTGCTATCACCAGGAACTCCCTACCTCCCCTTTTTCCTGGAATTGTAATTCAACCCATTAGATACAGACCCCTAGAAACAGTGATTTTGGTTTTTTAACTTGTGCAATACCGGAAACATTCCCCATGAAGAAACATGGAGGAAAGAATGGAAAGGTGATTTTTTTGTGGGGTTTGAACTTGCACTGAATATTTATGAGGAAACCATGGGGTAAGAGGGTGTCAGCTCTGTGTTAAAGTGTTTGAGATCTTTAGTATGAACTAGTATTTATTTTGGAAATTGCAGGAACAAAGTGGAGCTGGGATAGTAATTGGAAGAAAGTAACAACCACTCAAAGGCTGAAAGAGTTGTGTATATTTGACAAACAGTACTTTTAAAATAATGTTTTAGGTTTGTTATCACAATGTGTTCACAAACAGGAATAAACGGGAGAACCCTGGTCATGGAATATAGTACTTGAAACACCACTAGTGAAGCTTTTCATCCAGGTTGGAAAGGAAAATTGCTTCTTTATTGTTCCAAAATAATATGTAGCTAACCCTCTTTAGGTAGAAGTAGCCAGAGCTGTCTTCGCCCTTTGCCCCCGCACAGCAGTTAGGGGTGCTTCTTCGGAGGGGGGAATATTGCAGATAAGTAAGTTAGTTAGATCTCTTGTAGGCAGTTAGGCAGGGCTGCTCTCAAGGAGCTAACATAGCAAGGAGCCAACATGGAGGGCAATCAAGACACTTTAACTGAAGGCCAGAATTGTAAAAGGAGAGAAACTACTACACCCTTCTGCTTCCTCTGGGGATAAATAGCAGCGAATGATAGTCTAAATAGGTATCAGTCACCTGGGTGGGGGCCCAAGGTCTTAGCCCAGCCTTTCCAGGAAATAGACCTGACTCCCACCCTTACTGAAAATCCTTGTGTGCTTGCTACAAGACTTGTTCCCCCATTTGACCGCCATTTAAAAAATATTACCTGGGTGACTCTACTTGTAATCTTATTGGTTGGTCATGGTTTTGCCCCACCTCATAATTTTCCATTGGGTTATGGTTTTGCCCCACTTTGTACCCACCTCATCACATGGCTTGGCTGTATAAAGCATCTTTGAGAAGTGGGGTGAGTGGGCAACCCACTTTCTGGTCCCCCTTCAGTCTTTCTTAGACAGAACCTTTCTTTCCCTCAATAAAACTTTCCTACTCTTAACCTCTGTTGTTCCTAGAATTCATTCTTTGATTTTAGAGAACATGAACTCGCATTTTGGATATCTAGCAGGTTTGGGAATTATATCTCTTCCCCCATATCAATATTATGAAATCACCCTCTTGGTCTCACTTTCTTCACTTAATATAATGCTTTTATGATCCATTTATATTGTTACATACTTCAATAATTCACACTTTTTTGTACCAGGGATAGAACTCGGGACCTTGTGCTTATGAGGCAGGCAGAAGCACCACTGAGCTAAATCCCCAGCAATAATTTATAATTTTTTGTCTCTGAATAGTGCTCTCTTGTGCTGACATATCACTGTTGGCTTATTTGTTTGACAGATGAAAGACGTTTTACTATTTCTCATTTTCTGTGATGACAAATAAACCTGCTATAAACATTTAAAAAAAACAAAATAATATGTAGCTCAGATACTTCAGGCAAGAAGAGGAAGATCAGGGAAATAATATCAATCAAAAGTTTCTTTTAGTCTATTTGTAAGAGAAAATGCTTCTCAACACTGCTCTTAAAATTAATTAATAAAATCCATTTTTACAAGTTAAGTACTCAATTTGTGGCAGAGATTAGAATTGTTGGGACTGTAGTATAAATTAGGTCTAAAATGTTAAGTCATTCCTAGGGGAAGGATGAAGACTATTTTAAGAGTATAACTAGAGTATTGTTCAGTTTTTTACTCAGTGATCTTGAAAGCCAGTGATGTGGTTATGAGACAGTAAAGGATATGGGAAAGAAGTTAAGCATTGTTTCTCTGAATGAATGGAATACAGGAGTAGGTGGGTTGTGCATTTTTTCTTGTGTCTGATACCACCATATACAGTCATCTAGTGGCATCTTTGTCATTTCTATGCAAGTTTTCAAACTGACATTTCTTCAAATAGAATGGGTTTACTCCAGCAACATCATTGAAATAACTACTTCAGAGAAAAGAGAATAGAATGATCAACTGTTTTAATTTTTTCAATAAAACATCTAGCTAGTGACTTGTTTGTAGATCAAAATTGGCTAGCAGTTGTGTCAAAATGGTTGGAATTTGTTATTCTCCTGAATTGTTCTGCATGGTCAAGGCTCCAGTAGCCCTAGTTTATTTTCAAAGTTATAATCCTGATTGCACCCTATATCCTGATAGAATCTATCTTTTCTGCACAAACACACTTTGACACAGGCAGGTCACCTGGGGGATTTGATCAGTGGAATTTCCCACAAGGGTATCCAGAACCCATTTCTAGCCTAGAGGCTAACTTGAAAGACATTTCCTTGATATTTAGCTGCACATAGAGACATCCTCAAGTGATAGACATGAACTTGTTGCATATGGCCAGACTAGTTACAGGTAAGTGGTGAGCAAGAATGCGAAGTAGAGACATCATAGCCCAAGTTGTGAACAAAATGGACATTATCAATAGGCTTTATAACCTACTTCCATTGACTGGATAAAGGATATAAATCCTAGGGTAGGAGTGACTAATGGAGAGCCAACCTTAAAGGCAGAAAATTCTCTTTTCCTAATCTTTGAGCTGAATTGATACCTAAAGCACATATAAACACATGCTATATGTAAGGTTTGGTGGAATCTGTGACTTCCTTATCGAGAGATTGACAAAAAAACTGAAGTAAACACAGCCTAGAATAAAGAAATGTTATACTGACTTACATCAGGATTTCATGTTGGGTATGTTTTGGCTCATGATTTAAGGTGGATTAAAGGTAAGTGTTTACGGATCACTAATTCTTGGCTGTGTTGACTTCTAAGTGGTACTGTGTATTCTCCAACTATGATAAAGTTGATTAAATCAACAAAAATCAAACCTGTCCCCCTACCCATATAAGCACATACTCTCCCAACTGGCTCTTGGGTAAAATGAGGCACAGAATGGAAAACTTCTGTTATAGGAGGTTTTAAGTCTCCATTATACATCAGCTTTCTGGGTGATAGACAGGTAAAGAACAAAACATACTCTGTGTACTTACAGAAGGGGCTACCTACAGTGAGTCATCTGAAGCTTAGTCATATAGTTACTGTCTTCACTTTTATACTCATCTTGTTCAAAGACTGCATGAAAACTAATCTTGTTCTATGTAGAAAACAAATAGGGGGTGGTGTGCATTCTTGATCTTTTTCAGGAAGCATTATTAAAAGACCACCAGTTTTTAGTTTCATTTATTCCGAGGAAAAGAATGTTCAATGTGTGAGAATGTTTTGCTATGACAACTATTTTGAGGAGATAATGGGCGATGAATGCCACTCTTACTGTTCACATACCCAAGAAATACTTTGAGTTCATGGATGGTACTAAGAAAACTTGATCTGCTGGTCCAGAAGCCATGTATATTACCCACGTGTGTTCTTTATATATAGTCTCTTTTGGGCTGGTTAAATACTGGGTTAATACTCATATCTACATGGGAAAACCAGTATAGAAAGCTTTTAGACTATTATAAGGCTGTTCTACTTATTTATATTTTGATATAGTGCATATCATATCCTTCCTGTGATTGAAAGGTTTACTCTGTCTTTGTGATAACATTTTCTGCTAAAAATAAGAATATAGTAGACCCTTCAGTTATGGCCAGCCTCACATATGAACAACTTGGGTTATAACTGGAATTTTAGTTTTAACCAATGACAAAAGTCTCGAGTTACAACCCAAATGCTGGTCTTTCCTGTCTGGGGTTGAGAAATCCTGGGCCACTATTTCTCTAAGGACACTGAGATCTGCCTGGAAGAAGGTGTAGCCTGAAATTATACAGGAGAGAGACTTTGAAGGCTGTGTAGAGGTGCCTGAGCCTTCAGTTGACCCTGTGGTTGATGACACTGTCTCCATGGGCTTGCAGATACACAGTGGTGATGTTGAAGACCTGGTGGAGGAACACACAGAGGAACTGTCTACAGAACTTCAGCAACTTCTGGCTGAGCAACAGAGAATGGCAGCTGAGGAGCTTTCTGGAGAGGAGGGGGAGGATCAACAATCAGTGCAGCAAAGTTCTTCTAAAAGAAAGGAAATCCTGAAAAACTGGATGGACTTTACAATTGTAAGAAGACCAACTCAGACAGAGAAAAAGCCAATCATTGCACTCACTTGTTTAATGATGTCATGTCATACTATAGAATAGTGTTAAAGAAAAGACAGAAACAGATAACCTTAGACCAGTTTTTATTTCTTAAAAGGTTGAGACCTAGTGAGCCAGAAACAGGTCCTAGTGAGCTACAAACTCTCCCAAGGAGACAGGACGTCTTACGGAAGAGACTTTCCCTCCAAACAATATCCACCTTCCATTTCATCCTCCCTTCCTGCAAGCCAAAGATGTCAACTTGCATGGTGAGTACCATATGAAATTTTTGTTTCTGTTAAACTAGGGACATTTTGTAACTTTTTGGTGAATACATCAGGAAAATTATTGATGTTCTGATAAATTATGTACATTATACAATTCTTTTTATTATGAAAAGGTTAGTTATGGGATGATTTGGGAGGTTCAGAATACATTATGGGTATTTCCATGTTTTCTTATGGGAAAATAGTCTTGACTTACAACCCCCTTGAGTTATATCCAATCCTCCTGAGCAAATTGAATTGGTAAGTCAAGAATATGCTATAACGATGGCATAGAGAATATACACACAAAACAGTAGAAGATGTGAATGCTTGGAATTTGCATGAAATGCTGAAGATTTTCAATTATATGAATTTATCAATAAAATAAGTCAAAGCAACTTAAATGTCTCTCTCTTCCCTTCTGCATGTATGTGTGTGTGTATAAGTGAGGATTAAACTCAGGGCCTTCACATTTAGTTACACCCAGCGTTTTTTTTTTTTTTTTTTTTTTTTTTTTTTGTACCAGTGATTGAACTCTGGTTCTTGTGCTTGTAAGGCAGACGGTGGAACCACTGAGCTAAACCCCGGGCCTACCCGCCCCATCTCTTTTTACTTAATTTTGAGACAGTCTCATTAAACTGCTTCAATTGGCCTCAAACTTGCAATCCTCCTTAGCCTCCCAGAGTGCTGGGATTATAGGCATGCTGTTCTCTCTGATTATGTGACCAAATTACCATAAGTGTTTATATTTACTTATACAAAGTCCACCAGAAAAATGTATACACACTTCAGGAAAAGAAAAATAGTATTTTTTTTTTTAACAGATGGTGTTATCCTTGTATGGGAGTCCCTAGAGGATGGTGTATATCACAGAAAACCCACTACACTACCAGGTCTTAAAAGAAATTGAAAAATCCATGCGCAGCAATCTCAATAGCCAAGGTTACCCAAACAACTGTTCACCATATTAATAAATGTATGGAAGCTAATGGCCACCATTTTGAGCACCTCTTTAAATTGTAAAGGCCAAAGGTAACTTCTATTAATCTCATGGTGTCTCGATAAATTTAGTATTAAAATATTTATACAAGGTTTTCTTTTCCTGAAGCGTGTATACATTTTTGGCAAACTGTATAATTGATATGCTCAATGATTTAACTTTCACATGTCCTATAAAAAGTTTTTATTTTTGTTAATACTGTTGCTTTGTTTAAAAAAGGTAACATTTTCTGGAATCTAACTAAACAAGCATTGTCAATTTCATCCAGTAGATGGCAGAATAACATTAACCTCTAGAAAATACTGGCTCAGAGATGGGGGTCTATGTATTCTAGAATGTTAGTATATTTGGTTATTGAACCAAATTATGGTTAGTGAACACAACTTCAGCAGTCCTGTAGCATGTGAAATTATCCCTAAATATGACTTTATTTTAACCATTATTCAATCATTTAAATATATACCAAATAATGGGATACTACAGGACCCACTAAAAAATGTAAAAAACAGTAATCACCAAAAGGCAAAAATGTAAATAAGATGGACATATTTGGATCACATTGAATAGCACTGTTCCATTAAAGTGTCATAAACAGAAGCAGACAGTCTTTATAGGAAATAGAATAGTTAGAGCAAATTAGGAAGATCCATATGCAAAGAATACACATGCTCAATAAAGAAAATGTTACCAGTCATTTTTAGTTATTTATTTTTGGTACCGGGGATTGAACTCGGGTCCTTGTTCTTGCAAGGCAGGCCACCGAACCGCTGAGCTAAATACCCGGCCCTATACTTTTTTTTTTTTTTGAACCAGTCATTTTTAAAATCAAAAGTAGAACTGAAGATTCCCGTTAAAGTAATCACTGAATGAAGTTCTGCTGGAAATGCATATTGTACATTCCTAGAAAATTTTAAGAGCCTAAAAAAGCTTATACTATTCAGATTTTACTCAGAATGTATCACAGGGTGATACACGTGGGCATATTAAACCTTAGGGCTAGAATTTGAGGTACTCAAATACAGTAAGTGAAACATTATGGCTCATTCATGAAATTAAATATTGCATAGACACAACTTCCAAATAACCTACTGCAGATCATGACTAAGATGAAATTAAAGTAAAAAAATTGATAAGGATGATACTTTATTAGTAGCATCTACTAGCTCCTGTTTTTCTGTGCAAGCTTTAATGTTAATAACATTATCTCCCTATGACTCCAATATATATACAATTATGAAAGACTTCAACAAACGAAATAGGAAGGTGAAGTAAATTTATCCCAAGGTCTTTGAGCAATTAACAAGTGGTTGAGCTATTGATGAGATATTGGTTTTAATTCTTTATGGTATGTTTATGAAGTTTAAAAATGTTCTGTAGGAACATATTTTGTCTTTAAAATGAGAACAAAATAATTTTAATTACAATTAAAAAATTTGAACATATTCAAATACCTATGCTTTGGAAGTAAACCACATAAACACTACTGTTAGCCAGTGTGTGTGTGGAGACATTTGCATTTGCCTAAATAAAAGTTTTTCTTACTGAATATGCATTGGTAATTAAGGAAAAACACCTTACATATTCTTTTCTAGTATCGGCAGATTAAAAATTGAGCAAAATCACGATAGTAGTCTGTCTTTGCAAGTTGGATTTGTCATTTTTTTATCTAATTTTAGCTCAGGGTTTGGTCTATTTGACAAAGGTCTGTGTGTGTGTGTCTGTGTGTATTACATTATACCCATTGTTAAAAGAAATTCTCTTTGCCATATGGAATCATGAATAATTTACTTTTTTACTTTTGTTTTACAGTATAATTGATATAATTAATTTTTACTTCAGAAAAGCTAACAAATGTTGCATTTCAAAAACTTGTTAGAAAACCACAATTATCAGCATGCTTTGTGTTTATAAATATTTTGTCTGAATTCTTTAAAAAGTTAGCAGTTTAGGAAAATAAATCTCTTTCCAGTCATTTTAAAGCCCCTATAATGTCTATCTCTGTAGGGACGTCTATGATTAATTAGTAGTATTAGCATAGAAGAGGGGTGTCACGTGCAGAAAACTGGAAAGGGATGAGAGGTGGGGTAAATAAGGCTGTATGCTGATGTAGATGGAGCGGTTAGCTTATATGGTTAAACAACATTTAGTTACAAAGCAGTAGGGTCAAATGCAATGGAAGGCAAAACTTTTTCAACAAGAGAAAAGTTTGTGCAAAATAGACAAACAGGGCAGTATCCCCTTGGCATGTCAAAATTAGCAATGAAAAATACCTACATAATCAGTCAAAATAAACAGTAAAGTTATCCACAAAAGGTCAAAATGCAAAAAGATGGACAAATCTGATCTCAAACTTACCTGAATGGTCCTCTATTTTTAAAACTATAATAGACTGAGGAAAAAAAAATCAAGGCAAGCAAATGTCAATTAAATTATATTTATTATATAAACAGATCCTATAACTTGATATGAAAAACAAAGTAACTCCAATAGGTATCACAAGGGTAAAGGGCATGAACACTTGATCAAGGAAGAAACACAGCTATCCAAAATACACAAATATTTAGTCTCGTTAATAATCAAAGAATGGTTGGAATGTCATTTCTTGCTTATTCAATAGACAATAGCAATTTCTATTTTTCCATTTTATAAATGTACTCAAATGTACTATTCTTTAGTAATAAAAAACTGAATAATTAAAAAAGTAAAGTGTGAAAATTTCTGCCAATGTAGAAATCATAAAAAACATTAAAATACATCAACACTCGTATGGGCTGTAAGGTTCAGATCCCTAGAAACTAATTCCTTTTGCCTGTTCCTGAGTTTTATTATGGGATCGTGGATAAGGAGATAGCTCCTTACTTAAACTCTTGATAATTTCCCAGATACAGGGATATACATTTATGCATTTTTTTTCTTCAGGCAGACTCCAGGAAAGCATCTTTTCAGAACTGCTCATTACAGAGGACTCCTATAATTGCCATTTGCTAGTAAGGTTGATATAAAAATTTCACCCATGTAATTAATTCTCATCCCTAGGTGTTGAAGAAGCTGATGATCTATTTTAGTACTGCCTGCAAGGCAAAACTGTTCTAACCCTTCTGCAGCTGGCTTTTTAGGAAATCTAGTCAGTCCTGTCCTAGAGACAAGACTGAAAGGACATTTTCTGATTTGATGCAGGACAGAGTATATCTCCTGCTTGCTCAAATCATAGCCTTGAGGCAGATTACATAGCTCAGGATGTACATGGGCTAGAGCAGCACCAGGGCAATCAACCCCAAATACAAAATAATCATGTCAAAATGTCTAAATTGGGAGACTGAACTTAAAAACCTGTATCTTTGTTCACAATATTTATTTGCCTTTTTCATATCATAAATGTTGCTCAACAAAAAGGTCAAGAAAAGCAAAATTATATTCACAGAACAAAAATAATTCTGAAATTTCAACTTTGCTATTCTGTACAAAAACAACACTACAAAAAACATACAAGCAGAAAAAGTAATATTAAGCTTCATCTGAAGTAACAATTTAGTCAAATAACAAATCTACTTGTCTGTAGCCTTTAGCTATCTAAATTCTACACATTTATTTTTGATACTGAATTTGCATTTAAATAGAAACAGCTGTTCTGTGTAAGCTAAAAGTTAAACATTTTACTGTAGTTCGAATGCTAATCAATTTCAAAAGTTTACACATGCATGTGTGTGCATATGTATTTGTACTGTGTACATATTTTTTTTTTCCTTTAGAGATTCCAAATCCTGGCTTTAGGTTATTATGTTAAACTTCATATATTCTGAGTGCAGTCACACAATTAAAATAGCTGACAGATATGTCTAACACTCTATGCAAGGAGGGAGGCAGCTAGTAATACTTGACCCTTTTATTTTTTCAGATTAGAGCAGGTGGCCTCCATTGATACTTTTCATTCAGATAAAAATTTTCAGCTTTGAAGCATAATGGACATAATTATGCATTTACTACAGTCACCTACAATTCGACTATATAACACCACAAAAAGATATCTAAACATTTTTTTCTACATCTCTTTTCATGTTAAAATAGCTAGATATGTTCAATACATTTTCACAATGCACTTGTTAACCATTTGATAAACATACTAAGCCAAACAAGACAAATAACATGTTACCTTTTTATGCGTTATCAATCATTTTAAGATACAACTGAAAGTATGAAATTATCCATGACTGTACTTCAAAGATATAAACAGCTCAGACCTAAGAATGATCTGAAGGTGCTGAAAGAGGTGATTCTCTAGAAGGTGACCCAGGGTTTTCTTCAGGTGGAAAAACAGTGAGGGTACAAGCTCGAATGCCACCAAGTGACTCTGGAAGATCAAAAACTTTATGCCACTCATCTTTTTCTGGGTCATACTTCTGGACAATTTCTACCATACAACGATTATTCCATGAATATCCACCAACAACATAAATTTTGTTTTCAAAAACAGCAACTCCAACATCACTCTGACCTCTTAACATAGCAGCAATTGGTGTCCATTGGTCAAGGGTTGGTGAATAGTATTCACAGCTTAGAACATCATCATAATCACTCGTTCCTCTGAAATGGTTGCCACCAATGACATAGAGCTTGTCTCCAACTGTACACATGCAATGCAGACCTCTGACTGTAGTCATTGGAGCCTTCTGTGTCCATTTGTCTGTATCCGGATCAAAACACATGAGCTCATTTTGGAAAGTATCATGGGTAATCCCTCCTGAAATATACATTAAGCCTCCATACACTGTTCCTGCATGGCCATAGTGGGGTTCACTCATTTTTGCAACATAGCTCCATTCATTCATTCTTGGATTGTAACATTCTACTGTAGCCAGTTCACCAGCTGCACTGCGCCCACCAACTGCATATAAATGTCCTTTGAGGGCACTCAAGTGGAAGAATGTACGCTTTTCATTTAACGATGCTACCTGCATCCATTTATTATACCGAGGGTCAAATCTGAAAACTGTATCAACTGCAGTTTTTCCTTTTGTATCATAATTACTTTGACCACCAACTACATAAAGAAAGTTTCCAATGACAGCAATTCCATGCTGGTAACGAGGAGCATCCATAGGAGCTAAGGATCTCCACTCTTGAGCTCTTTCATCATACATCCTTAATTCTTTACTAACAACCAGCTGCTGCCTCAAAACCCCTCCTAATGTAACCAAGTGAGTAGAATCAGATCGAATGGCAGTTCTATCTGACTGCATCACTGGCTGCATATAAGGCATCATTTGGTAATTGCTAGCTTCCAAAAGCAAATTCACACAGGTATTATCTGTTCTCATGAAATCGACTGTCTGCACATAATTGATGAGGTCCTGTGGTGTCATCAGTGGAAATCGAATATTCTTCATTAATTTTGCGGCATAATCCATCCGAGGATCTTCCAACCTCAGCCAGCGGCAGGCAGCCTTGAACAGTTCAAGTTCAGTACAATGCTTAAGACTATTACTGGAAAGCACAAAGGCAAGCCGTTCAAAAGGAAGTTTTAGAAATTCCCCAGTACTCAATAAAGCAGGAAAATTCTTCAGGATGAAATTATTAACGTATTTATCCACTTCTATAAGATTATAGGTGTTAGCAATTCGTCCAACCTCAACACAGTTATCCAAAGAGACTCCTGATATAAGAAATACTTTGCAGAAATCCAAAACAGGCAAAATTTGTAAAAAGCTGGCAGCTTCAAGTGTGTCCTGAAGATTGTCCATATTTAGAGAAAGTTTGGCAGTATATATAAAGTCAATAATTTTCTTCAGACCAACTTTGTTCACCCCATGAAGCTTAATGCACATTAAATCTTGTTCTTTCATTCCACCTGTGAACATAGCCTTGAAATAATCACTGGCAGACGCCATCATCGCTCGGTGAACAGGGAAAATTTCATCTCCATCACCCGGTACTAGGGTCACGTCACAAAGCAATCCTTCTATTCTTAGCTGATCAAAGCCTTGCAGTACCACCGAACTGTGAGTATTGCTAGTAAAAAATCGTGTGGTTCCAGCCTTGCAAGGCTGCAAGTGGGCAGAGACGCCCATATCGCCGTTACCAAGAGACACTTTCATGTGAAAGCCTTCCTCTTGACAGGGAAAGAAATTCGGACCCGAACGTTTCACAGGAAAGGTTGTCCAAAAAGCAAAAGAGCTCACTTTTCTTAAGGGCAGTCACTCTAGATACACCAGTCTTGCACTGAAAACTGTCCACAAAGGCCTGCGGGCCTCAAATCAGCTTATTAGGTTGTTGACTCATCACCTGAAGGCAGTTAAATGACCCGGTTCACCTCGTCCGGCCTGTGCTGCCGCTCCTGCCGCTGCTCCGGGCCAAGGAGGAGGCGCCCCTACGTCCCGCAGCTCCGTGGCTCGCTCCGTGATGAGGCCCGGTCCCTCAGTGCGCGTCCAGCTGCGCCCTCCGCTGTTAGCAGCGTCGCCGCGGCCAGCAGCTTACCTTCCAGCAAGGGTCTGGAACACCCGCGCTGGGCCTGGGCCTGGGCCTGGGCCTGGAACACCAGCCTAATCCCAGACTGCAACCGAGCAGTTCCGGAAAGGACTAGTCCCAGGATCCCCCGGGCTAGGAGCGGCCATGCTACTACTGCGCCTGCGCGGGCGCGGGGCCTCACCGGTCTGGTGTAGCTGAGTGACTCCTGCTGGCGCCCTGGGCCTTTGCACTTTTGTGTGAGTGGGGCCAAGTAGATGGAGTAAGTGCGTGTGCTTTATGCTGTGCTTTTGGTATATAATTTTCCCAGTGTCTAAGTCCACCTGCTTTTTCCTTTTTCTTTTTCTCTCATTGAGTTTATTGGTACATTTTAGGTATACAGTACAGTTACATTCATCATTGGGATCTTGTACCTTTACATGACAGGTCTTGGTTCTCATTTTTTCCCCTTGTTCCTGCCCTCCCTTCACCCTCTCCTCCCCTCCCTATTTGCAAATACTTTATTTCCATTTTTTCATATTTTTCTTTTCCCTTATTACCTTTCCCCTACCCTTCCCACTTCCCCTACATCTTTAGCCCTTTTCTTCCTATTTCACATTGTCAATTATATCATTAGGATCTTATGTACCATTATAGTTTTTCACACCAGAGAAACTATTCAGTATTTATACACGTGTGACTTATTTATTTCACTTAGGAGTATATCCTCAATATGCACCTGCTTTTTCTTTAAGATTTCCATTTCCTGACTGCTGTTTTTGAATAACAAGGACATGTGGCTTTTCTTTAAATGTAGTAGAAACTTGGCAGAAAAGGTCGTAGGAGGATGCCTGGATTTCTTTTTCTTTTCTTTTTTTTTTTTACCATAAAACATTTAAGAATTTTTCTCACTCAATTTTTTTTTTTTTTTTTACTTTTTTGAGACAAGATCTCACTGTGTAGTTGAGACTAACCTAGAACTCACTATGTAGTCCAGGCTGGTCTCGAACTCACAGTGATCCTCCTGCCTCAGCCTCCGGAGTGCTGGGATTACAGGTGTGTGCCCAGCTCACTCAATTTAATTAGTAGATGCCTCAGTTATAACTTTGGTTCCTATTTTTAATTTTTTAAAAATATCTAAAGCTTAGTATTTGTATCTGCTAAGTTATGAACAGTGTACAGTATATAAATTATTCTGAAGCTTTGGCTTGCAGTACGATTCCATCATAAATAATTTTGTCATGCTTTTGTACTCACTACTTTTTAAATGGTTACATACTTTTCCAGTAACTGCACACTATATCTATTGTTTGCCCATGGCTGTATACCTTCTTGTCCTCCATTGCCTTATAGACTAGGTAATAAGCTTATAGAACTTGTGCACAAAACTACCTTGCTTTGGATAATGTTTGATAAGCTTTTCAAGTCATTGTGTTCAAAATATTGTCATACATAATGTTTGAGTGTGTACCTATACCAATATTTTTCCCTTAATGGGTATTTTAACTTGCTTTTCTTTAAGTAGTAGTAAATTTAAATTTCAACAGGAGTAAATGTATGCTTTGACACAGTTTATGCCAAATTATGTAATGTTTTAAAGTTGTCTTTTAAATCCTTTCAGTTCATTTATATATATGCAAGCTAAGAATAATTATTTTATTACTTTATTTTTTATGTAAAAGATAGCATACCATAGACACTGTTCTCCACCTTTCTTTTTCACTTCAAGATCTCTGAGAATTAGTATGTACAGTCTGTATTTATATTTTTAAAAAATATTGCTACAAGCCAGGCATGGTGGTGCAAGCCTGTAATCCCAGAACTCAGGAGGCCGAGGCAGGAGGATTGCTGTGAGTTCGAAACCAGCCTGGGCTACATAGTGAGTTCCAGGTCAGTCTCAACTAGATAGTGAGACCCTCAAAAAAATTGCTACTGAATGCATATGTCATAAGTTATTATTGTCATAAATGGTGCATATGAAACTACTTGCTCAGACAGGCTTTTGTGAGGAAAAAGAAAAGTTTATTCCAGTGAACAGGGACTAGAATTGGGTCCTGAAATTTGGGGTAGTTTTAGCAGCTAATGGGGAAAGAAAACTACTTATATAGAGTTTTGGGAAGGCTATGATAAGGAATGTTTATGACTTGGGTGAGCAATGATAGTCTGCACAGGTGTGTAGACAATCACTGGACTTCTCAGTCAGAGAGAGATTGTATATTTTGTCTTGTACTTATTCGTCCTGTTTACTGAGAAATTAACTGTTATTTGCTGAAATAGCCTGTTTGCTTTGTTTTATTTGTGAAGCTCTCACTTAGGCCAAGCATGACATTCCCATTTTTTTTGGTTGTTATATACAGAAAGGAGGGGGCAAGGAAGTAAGCAGAGCTTCTCATAGCTGCTTTGTGTATGACAAATGGGTGGTGAGGACAGCCTATGTGGAAGAAAAATCTTGGAGAATAGGAGCATATTGAGGACTGGCCAGGGCCAGCATGTCTATTAGTGATTGCTTCTATACAGTCCTGTAAGAATTGTGAAAGATGTTTGGGGAAGCATGTCCCAGACAGGAGTAGAATGATACAGATAGGAGGTCCAGTAAATGGAAGAAGCCAGGTAGTCCAGCCCCAAGTATCAGTCCATGAGTTAGATAGGTGCTGTCTAATTTCTGAGGCCCTGTCTGTTAGTTTCTTAGCTGCATCCCATACTATGCCTGTCAGATTGGAATAAAAACAACAATCTTCTGGAAAACTGCATAATCTGCCTTTGTCAGCAGTTAGAAGATCCAAGCCTTGTTGATTCTGTAAAGCCACTGCTGTTAGGTACCCTGTCTAGTTATGTAGAGTGAGAAAGGAATTGACTATTTCTTTGAGGCTGTCAGAAAGATCTTGAGATAGAAATTGATATTGGGTTAGTGAAAAAGTTAAACCTGCTATTTCCCTGCAACAGCAATGATGCCTAGACCAACAAGCAGTGGTATTAAGTGTATGACTCTATGCTGCCAGACCTGGGCTGTAATGGCAACAAGCAGGCTCTGGTTTTCTGGGGCAGTATCTATATTTGGGCTAAGGCACAGTGTGAAGGTGTCGGTCTAGTTAGTGGGAAGGCACAAGTGGAAATCCCACAAAGGGAAAAGATACTTTGGCTGGGTAAACAGAATTGGATGTGGATTTAAAGTTGAATAGCAGAGTTGGTTGTGAATTGGTTAAAGAGGTAGTTGACATTTTTGTTTTCTGTTTCCTGCGTGCCCAGGGTGCCTGCTAGAGTAGCACCTGTCAGGGGCTGGCAGGAGATTTGACTGGCACCTATTGTCTTGTTTTCCCACTGGGAATTTATTTTGGTACTGTGGTTCGAACTCAGGTCCTTGCAATTGCAAGGCAGGGAGTGGAACCACTGAGCTAAATTCCCAGCCCTGCAGGAAAAATATTTCATTGTCTTTTAGAACACATTGTGAGGAATGGTTAAATGTAGGCAAGAAGAGACAATCTGAGTGTGTGGGAGACTTGTAACAAGGGACTTATGGGATTAGGGGCATGCATGGGAAATGGTGGGTGTTGCAGAATCCTGTATATTTAGCAGTGTTGTTGTTAAAACTTTTGGAAGGCTAAAAAAAGAACAGGCTGAGTGAATGCGGCATCCTTAGTAACCTGGTTGTTGGTATGGTCACCTGATGTTAGTAACAGTAATGTGTAGTTACACTGGTGGAGGAGTAGATATCCTAGTGATATATCAGAGGACAGATTACATTGAATGCAAAAGGGGGGTTGGAAGGTTAGAGTAGTGTGTTATTTACTTTTCTCTCATTGCTGAGACAAAATACCCAACAGCCCAAATGAAAGGAGGAAAGGTTTATTTGGCTCTCAGTTTGTAGAAGTTTCAGTCCATAATTGGCTGGCTCCAAGGCGGGGTGGCAGAAAGGCAATAGTTCATGGCTGCAGAAGCAACAAAAGCAACAAGAGACCTTACAAGTATATCATTGCTCCTTTAATTTTTAGACTACTGAGATTAGGGGGATGCCAAATCAGTCACCCATGTGGTTTAGTAATTGCATGTCCTTAATCCCAGCACCACATACTCTAGATTCAGAACATCTGAAAAAGCCTATGATTGGGATGGGGATTTAGCTCAGTGGTGACACTGCCTGCCTTGCAAGCTCAAGGTCCTAAGTTCAATCCCAGGTTAAAAAAAAAAAAAGCCTATGACCAGTCACATGAGGCTTTGGTCGGGGGGGCATCTAGATAAAAATCATAATGTTCTTGGTTGGGGGATTTAGCTCAGCGGTGCCACTGCCTGCCTCAAAAATGCAAGGTCCTGAGTTGATCCCTGGTACCAAAAAACAATAAAACGAAAAACCCCATAACATTCTGCCCTTGGCCCTTCAAAGACTCATGCACATCCCTTTATGCAAAAAAGTGTTTAGTCCATCTGTAGAAGTTGCCAAAGTCCTAACATTTTCAGCACTGCTGAAAAGTCCAAGTCCAAAGACTCCTCTGAAATTTAAGTCTACAAACCCATGTACAAATGAAAAGAAAGTTAAATGCTTCCAACATTCAATGGCACAAGATAGACATTTCCATTCCAAAAGGTACAAATGGATATAAAGGAATGAGACCAAAGCAAGTCTAAAATCCATCAGGATAAACATTAAATCCCACAGTTACATTCCAGCATCCCCATTAATCTCAAGCAAGTTGTGAACTCCAAAGGGCTTTGGTGGCTCTGCTCTTGTGGGACTTCTGGTGGTTGTACCTCCCATGGCTTTTCTCTTGGGCTGGCTCTGCTCCCTCCTTATAGTTTTCCTCAGGCAAACCATGTTTTTGACTTCTCCAAACTTCTGGGGTCTCCACTGTACCTTTGGCTTCATACTCACAGCTTCACACACTAACCTCTCAAGGGCACACTGCCTGGCCTGCTAGGCCTTCTTCTGAAATCTGGGTGGCAGCCTTCCTGACCCCACAACTCTTCCATTATGCGTGCATCTAAAATCAGTGCCACATAGATTATTGTACCAAGCCAATTGAGTACACCAAATACCGGGACACAGATAAGACTGGAAGGAGTTTATTTCACACATGTGGACTCCACTCTCTAAGAGAAGTGAAGCCCCATTATAGGATTGTGCATAGGTTTTATAGGTTTTACAGCCATGACCTCATTCAGGTGGTTAC